CTTAAGTAAATGAGACAGAACAAACAAGACAGGCAGAAAATACAAGCCAGATTACAAACAAGACAGACAACAAACGAGTTGACATTACAAACAAGACGGACAATACAAATGTAACACAAAGTATACACTAGAGAGACGGTAAAAACAAGACAGTACCAATGAGACAAAAAAAATAAGAAAACATTGAATCGAATCACGAACCCAAACATGACAATTCATATCATTTCTGGCGTGGTAAATCGTTACATGACTGATGATAATACTCAGATGACAAATTCATCTGTCTCAACAGAGGTTACTTAAAAAAAATCACTATTACTTTATTTCACATACATGCATATATATTATATCATCATAACCATGACCTACCCACTGCTGGATGAAGGCCATTCCTAGCTGTCACCACGATTTTGCGATGCAACAAAACATGAAGGTCATGCCCATGAGCTGATTTCATCGTTCATTTCTATAAAAAAATATATATAAATATTCTAGCCTGCCAATGTTCTCAGGAAATTAAGAGAAAAATAAATGGCAGCCAGGGTGCCAGCGTGACCGCAGCCGTCACACTTCGGTTGCCAAGGGACGGGGACCCATAGCGCCGGGCACACAGTATACTCCACGCTGCAGTTCATCACCAGCAGTCACAGCGGCACACCAATTTCTGCGGCAACTGCCCCAGACCCTGCGTCATACCCAGTAATATATTTACTGCATTAAAGATCCGAGTTGAGCGTTATTCCCTGAACCCAGTGACATTCCTTACAGGGAAACCTTCAACGAGATTTCAATCACTTAACAACGAAGATTGAAAGCTTTATCCATTAGCCCTGTCTGTCAGTCTCATCTATCTATCCATAGCAGGAGGGCACAATAACTCTCGTACAGATGATCCAATATGAACCAAACTGAAGTATAAAGTTCTCCTGCTATTAGGGAATCATATTATTAAAAAACAGTCATATTGACATAATAGGGTGCTCAAAACTCAGGAGACATAGACCAGAGCAAAAAGAACTATGTGCAAGTATGCAAACACGTATTTTTTTCTGACAGTTTCCCATAGTATTATTATATTCTTAGCTCTTTCGGTAAAGTCACGTTGAAGGGAAACAATAAAATAATATATATAACTTTATATATAATATATATAATATATAATAAAATATAATAAAGTTATATATATTTTATTATTTTATTGTTTCCCTTCAACGTGACTTTACCGAAAGAGCTAAAAATATGAATTACTGCAGTCACGAAAGCTTTAAATCAAAAGTTTCCCATAAGCTTCCGAACTAATTGATCACTTCCGACAACAAAGGCATATTGGAAACATTTTTGTAATCCATGCATATGTGAATGTTTTCTTTATTTGTCTTAAAGGGAATGAATCCTAAAAGCCGTTGATGTTTTCTAAATTTTTATTTTTGAAATTTTTCATCCCAGTACAAAGTTTGGTATAAAACGGCTCAGAAGCTATTTCTATCTCCTTTGTCACGATATTTGTAACACAAGAATGACAGGTGCCTCCCCACTGTATGTTCCACGTGAACGCAGTCATCGTACAATGAAGAACGTACAAAATTATCTGGGAATCACAATTCGGTGAGCTGTCAACTAAGCACCGACGAAACATGCAAATTGTTTCACACTGAGAAATATTAACAGTAATCGGTTCTCGTCCCATCACTATTTTTGTACTGCAGTGATGGCAAGCACTCTGACACAGTAGCACACTTGGCTAAATGTTTTTTTTTCGGAGAGAGGGAATTTTTTTTCCATTGTTATACAAAGTCACTCATTCAGGGAAACAAAATGGATTGCATTCAAATTAAGGTTCGGTTGTATAATTGAAATCTACCTCCAATTTTATGTGTATAAAACATTTCTAAAAAATATGAAAATATACAGTGAGGGAAAAAAGTATTTTGTCTCCTGCTGATTTTGGACGTTTGCCCACTGACAAAGAAATGATCAGTCTATAATTTTAATGGTAGGTTTATTTGAACAGCGAGAGACAGAATAACAACAAAAATCCAGAAAAACGCATGTCGAAAATGTTATAAATTGATTTGCATTTTAATGAGGGAAATAAGTATTTGACCCCTCTGCAAAACACGACTTAGTACTTGGTGGCAAAACCCTTGTTGGCAATCACAGAGGTCAGACGTTTCTTGTAGTTGGCCACCAGGTTTACACACATCTCAAGAGGGATTTTGTCCCACTCCTCTTTGCAGATATTCTCCAAGGCATTAAGGTTTCGAGGCTGACGTTTGGCAACTCGAACCTTCAGCTCCCTCCACAGATTTTCGATGGGATTAAGGTCTGGAGACTGGCTAGGCCACTGCAGGACCTTAATGTGCTTCTTCTTGAGCCACTCCTTTGTTGCCTTGGCCGTGTGTTTTGTGTCACTGTCATGCTGGAATATCCATCCACGAACCATTTTCAATGCCCTGGCTGAGGGAAGGAGGTTCTCACCCAAAATTTGACGGTACATGGCCCCGTCCATCGTCCCTTTGATGCGGTAAAGTTGTCCTGTCCCCTTAGCAGAAAAACACCCCCAAAGCATGTTTCCAATTCCATGTTTGACGGTAGGGATGGTGTTCTTGGGGTCGTAGGCAGCATTCCTCCTCCTCCAAACACGGTGAGTTGAGTTGATGCCAAAGAGCTCCATTTTGGTCTCATCTGACCACAACACTTTCACCCAGTTGTCCTCTGAATCATTCAGATGTTCATTGGCAAACTTCAGACGGGCATGTATATGTGCTTTCTTGAGCAGGGGGACCTTGCGGGTGCTGCAAGATTTCAGTCATTCACGGCATAGTGTGTTACCAATTATTTTCTTGGTGATTATGGTCCCAGCTGCCTTGAGATCATTGACAAGATCCTCGCGTGTAGTTCTGGGCTGATTCCTTACCGTTCTCATGATCATTGCAACTCCACGAGGTGAGATCTTGCATGGAGCCCCAGGCCGAGGGAGATTGACAGCTTTGTGTTTCTTCCATTTGCGAATAATCGCACCAACTGTTGTCACCTTCTCACCAAGCTGCTTGGCAATGGTCTTGTAGTCCATTCCAGCCTTGTGTAGGTCTACAATCTTGTCCCTGACATCCTTGAAGAGCTCTTTGGTCTTGGCCATGGTGAAGAGTTTGGAATCGGATTGATTGATTGCTTCTGTGGACAGGTGTCTTTTATACAGGTAACAAGCTGAGATTAGGAGCACTCCCTTTAAGAGTGTGCTCCTAATCTCAGCTCGTTACCTGTATAAAAGACTCCTGGGAGCCAGAAATCTGATTGAGAGGGAGTCAAATACTTATTTCCCTCATAAAAATGCAAATCAATTTATAACATTTTTGACATGCGTTTTTCTGAATTTTGTTGTTGTTATTCTGTCTCTCACTGTTCAAACAAACCTACCATTAAAATTATAGACTGATCATTTCTTTGTCAGTGGGTAAACGTACAAAATCAGCAGGGGATCAAATACTTTTTTCCCTCACTGTAGCGGCCATCTAAAATGTGTGGAGGGAAGTCCCCCTCCACCCCAAACCCTTTAGTTAGGCCTCTGTTCTGGTGCATCACTTTTGTACAATAGTTTTCTTTTGAACAGGCCGGTTGACACCATGCAACAATTATCATGGCCTTTCCCCCCCCCCCCCACTCCAGCAATTTAATACACTTTGGCAATTCACAATTGAAGAATTAATATTTTTTTACTGTGCAGTAAACACTAAAACCTCTCGTGGCTACAGGGGTAACGCAAACCCATTACATACCAAACACAAAAAAATTACCAGCAATTACTGAATTTTTAATTGAATGCATGCATTGTGAGCTTAAAATCGAATGTAATTGATGCTTCATTACATCCCTAATAGGAACATGGAAATGTCGCTACTGGTGACTCACAACCACATGGAAATGTCGCTACTGGTGACTCACAACCAAAAATGAAGGTAAGTATCTTCCAATCATACATTCGAGCAATGGGGCACTTTACATTTACTCAAATAATTCCATTTCAAAAGCAACAACATCCAATCACATCTCAAGACTTAGAATTTTCACCTGCAACAAACATTTATTATTTTGTAATCTGGATTCACTGCTTATGATACAGCTAAATCATAAATAATTTGTATTCCGATCTCTCACAACCAATACATTGCTCCTAACAGAAAACCGATGCCGTTTTGGCCTCCGAGGTCTCTGGGTTGAATCAACAATGGTGTCCTCAATGTTGCGGTACTTTGTTCTGACAGCTCAGGCACTTGGAAACAAACGCTACAGGTTTAAGAACCGAACACTTTTTTTGAGTGGCGTTTTTTTTTGCCGCTCCCTAACAACTCACAAAAGCCCCACAAAAAATGTGGGCACTCAGGAAGGACTGACCTACCTCTCTAGGTGACCTTTTCTGCTGGGCTAACCTCACTTGTCTCCATACAAAGGCAAAGGTCAATTTTGTTGATGAACGCGACCGACGGTAATGGAGTGGTGACACGAAATGACCCTAACTTGTAATCAAGGAGCATTTACTGCATCATCATATTCATCTATATGTGCGGGAGAATTATTTAACCCTCTGTCATTGATTATATGAACTGTTGTGATTCAGAATTTTAAAAAAATACCACTCATTTCCCTCTGCTATCCCCATAGTCTGAAAATCAATTTTCCCAACGATTTAAACTGTTGACTCCTTGCCCCTGTTTAAGTTGACTATAATTGTCTCACTATGTGAAATAAATATACCAAATCTTCTGTACAGGGTGTTGAGATGTGGCCACAGTCGACGTAACATAAATATTAATTGCACTGTTATGATTCCGGGTAAAGATTGAATCAATAACTGATCATTCCTTGTCTAATTTTTATGAGGTCTTGAGTTTTATTCGCGTTATTTATGGATCATTTGTACATTTAAGTTTGCTCCATTAGCCCAAAATACCAGTACCCTCAAAGGGTAGGGAGATCATCCTCCAGTAGCGGAATAAAGTCACCTGTATCAGTGTTGCTCGCCACTTCCTGGCCCTTCCACACCTCGTTGGTTGCCATGGAGAAGATGGTAACGGGGAAACGGCCTTCGGCTTGACGCACCATCGAGTCCTGGCCCACGCGGCCCAGCAGCTGCACTCGATTCAGCGCTAAAGTCGACATCATAAGCAGCGTCAGAGAGGGAGGAAAGAATAAGACCAAGAACCGTTAGTCGGTCATCTCGTAATTATGACCCAAGCAAAGAACATTTTGGTGGGTGAGTGGCAGTGGAGGGGTGAAGCAGTGGCACAGCGGTTTGTGAACTGCGTGGTGCACCCGGGCAAACTGAGCTCGATGCCCAGTCATGGTTAGTAGGTGGCAAATCATATCTTAAATGATCCTGGGAACCCCTGCGCTCTCCTTCACCAACCCACACTGACCATTATGGTAGAGTATGCCTCATGACTAATGACCAACAGTGTCATCTGGTCGAGCACCAATTGGGTCGAGGCTCAAAAGAAAGCCGTCCCTTGGTGTGGACCAATCAGTTTTAAGGACAATGCATATATTATCATAGTGTGTTTTTTTTTTGCATTTTGACTGCAGCTATTGTGGTTAATGCAGACATGAATCCTTGTAAAAAGGTTTCAGTTTTGTTGTCAGAAAAAAGGGGTAAAAACCCTATTATTATATTTTGGTACTGGCAAATGAGGTCTAATGATGACCAATACAGCATTAGGGCTTCATCGAAGAGTGGATTTACAGAGGGCTGTACATGATTATAATTCTGAGAGCAGTCTGTTTCCAATGCAAAAGCAGATGCAGCAACAGTAGAACAATGCTTGAAATATAATGAAACGCCAATAACAGTGGAACATTTTAACAAACAAATAATGTAAGTTATAAACTAGGTAAGATGAAAGGCAGCGACTGAATTTTACATTCAGAACATAACCAAAAAGCTCTGTTCTTCACCTGAAGACGGCTGCTTGCGTTGTGGCCGAAACATCGTGAGAATGTTACGGTTTAATTTGTATTATTTTATTATTTCCCTTCTACATGACTTTACCGAAAGAACCAAGAATATGAATCCCTGCAGTCATGAAAGCTTTAAATCGAAAAATTAATAATACGGCCTAAAAAATCTTGGGTTCAAATCTGTTGCAGCTGCCTATAAGAAAAATCAGGCTGACGGTCCAATGCTTGTCACCAATCACTGCACAAAAAAAATCCCGTCATGTGAAATGTAGTGTTTAAAATAACTTTGCATCTTCCAATAACGAAGACTAAAAAATGTTGTGATTATCATGTGACAAACACCTCTAGCGAATGGCACGCAAGAGGTGCACCACCTCGTGTGAATTGTAGGGGACTCAAAGAAACCCAGCATCCGTTCTGCAACATCATATTCGCAAGGCCGTTCTCTAACCTGGATGGCAATTTGCAACGAGTATGGATAACATGGCATTGTTTAGTAACCTCAGGAGTTTTGCAATGTCATATTTCAGGTTCCATTCTCACACAGGATATTGCCCTGCTTTCTGCGACTTCTCTGAATGCAAATGACTTTGTTATTGACGTGGCAACGAGAACACAACTAGAATGTAATTTAAAAAAAAAACATGATTAAACATATATAAGCAGCGTAATATCATGAAGCTTTGCACACACGCGTAATGGCTTATCGCGCCATCGTTCACGGGCTCCCGCCAAGCTCAACCTGCTGTTACTAATGTGCAGGCGGGCACATCATCTTCTGTTTCGTGTGAATTCTAAAATACCAGATGGCATTCATAAAGGGAGGCTGCCGTGCAATAAGAGTCGAAACAAATTACGGGCATTACCTGTAATTACTAAATTACAAGATTGTACCACACCACATGGAATGCTCAATGGAAACAGGCGACCCTTTTCTAAGATGACCTCCTCTGAGAATAAATGACTGGCCCTCAGCAATGCTGTGTAATATAATGATTGAGGTTTAGATTTATCGATGTGCATGGTTATCAAATACAAAGAAAGTAGGCGTGCACGATTCAACCCCCCCCCGCCCGTCCCAAATTTGATTGTCACGATACAGGATCACGATTCTATTTAAGAATTGATTGGATTTCTCTTCATTTGTTTTGTATTCTCAAGTTTATCTGGTTTACAGTTTTGTTTTCATTACGTGTCTTATATATATAAAAATATGTTTAACGAAACAATGTATGCACATTGTCATATAATTTCACAATGTCGCTAGCAATGTACGAACATTAAGCTCATTTTTAAAATTGCACCACTTTGTCTATAATAATTACATGGGCAAACCACGTAAAATTGTCTACCCCTTGACGCAAACTCAATTAAAGGTGTTCACTAAGGTGACAATAGACAAAGACTTGCTATTTTGTAGTGCTTGAAGCATGACTCATTACACTACAAGTGTGCACATATTTCAGATGGCCACAACAAATAAAACCACTATTGTGTACCGCTAGCGTACCATAATTGTAGCAGACACACTTTTGTAGTTTTTATCACAAATTATTTTCCAATTGTGCTTTGAGTGTCGTGTCACGAGACGAATTCATGTCCATTGTGAACTTTTATAGCTCAGAGTGCTCCACCCTGTGTCAGAAAACAGCCTTGAATGATGGCGCGACAAAACTACTTCACACGAGGGCCCCACCATGTAGAAACCTTTCAAAGATTTGCTAGGCGTCCAAAAAAAATATATATGCTAAAATGTATTTCAATATTTGATGGTTGTCGAATTTAGTTTTTATGTATTGGATTTTTAGGTCATTGGTAAGCTGGCTCCATTGAAGAACCCAGTTTGACCATGGGTGGCTGAAACCCAGTTTCAAACCCACATTCTCAAAGGTCCTGGCTCAGTATCTCTAGCTCCTGTACCACCCGGCCACTTCTTAGTTTCAGACGTCAGATTATACAAGTAAAGATAGTTTTACAAATTCAAGGGGCACTTAGCACGTTTGTGTGAAATTCCAATTGGAAGGTGTTTTGGGGCAAAAGTCCAAATAATTTATTTTCACACATGTCTTATATTCGTTGGTCACATAGCCAAAACTCACTTAGATGGCAAAGTTGTGTCAAGATATGGTATTTTTTTACCAAACCACATCCAAGGGCCCAAAAGGAGAGGTACTGAGCCTCACACTGAATGCCAATAAAAAGGGGGTAATAATTCAACCCCACCCTAGTGATGCCATGAATTTTTGCAATTCACAACAGGGTAAGTACTGGATGGGCAAACAACCTCCAAAACCGGAACCGACATTGGCACAGGAAGTGCTTCATCCAGCATTGGATTGCTAACTGAACATTCTTATGACTGTATTATTGTAGTCATCGAATTATTCATAAAGCTAGCAATAATTGTAATAATTGGAGTCATGATTCAATGAAGGAATCGAGTATTGCATTGTTTTTGTCTCATTTTTATGTGCCTTTTTATGTGCCTTGTTGATTTCTGTTGTTTGTATAGTTTGATCACTCAATTTGTGAATGTAACATTCACATATCACTAGCCTATGATTTGTGTAATTTGTGAATAGATTTTTACATGCAAGATTCAGATTTATCGTAAGCTTCGATGTTAATTACCAAAAACCATGCATTGTGAACCCCTAGTTTTTAGTTGTCTGGTGTAAAAACACTGCCACCTTGTGGAGGTCAGATAACATTGCACAAAATTACAACCATTACACTCAGTTGTAGACAATTTTTTCGATTGTGCACTCTGAAACAAGAAGTTTATTTCTCAAAAACATTGAAAATTATTTAGATGAACAAAGATAACAAACATATCGATTCAAATGACATGTTCCCAACATGTTGCATGTAGAAAAACAAGTAGTGTCGTTTGTAAAAGTTTATTATTACATCCGAGGTTTAAGATTTCTCAAGTGACCTAGGAATAAGGAAAATTAACTAGGTGGCAATATTAAATTAGCCGAGGTAGAAAAGGGACTGATCAGGAGAGCCACCAGCAATGACTACGCTTCTAATAAGTACAAAAAATAACCCAAGTTTCTTTGAATAACCTACTGAATTATTGGTAAAGGCCAGTATTGCCGTCATGCGCTGCAATTCATGATATTTTTACAGCAGTGTCATGATTACAACTGTCTGAGCTTAGATGGAATCTAATGAGTGGATTAAACGTAAAGTTTGTATAATCGTGAAACCTTTTCATGAGGATGTTGTTTGACAGGATGCGTACATATGTATCTGTCCTGATTTTTCAAGCAATTCCTATTTGAACAAACAGCAGATATTTGCATCAAACATTTAATTGTAAACTATAAATAGCTCTACCCCCCCACAGAAAGCTGAATTTGATCATTAAAAGCCGTGCACCAATGTGGCAAAATAAATTTTAAATTAATGCGCATTGCCACGCATGAGAAACGTGTGCACCCAAAAAAATTTAAAGAGCTGAAAATTATGCAGAGAAGCGTGGAGAGATGATGCATGCTTAGAATTACAACCCAGACAGAAATAACTCATGGATCAGGGAAAAAAAAGCACATTCGAGACGTTGACTGTAAAGAAAAGTGGGTTTGGGTGGGATACAAGGGTCGATGTATGAGACTGAATATGGAATGACAGCCAAAGAAGGAGGACGCCTAATAAGACTACAGCAGAGATGGTGTGACGAGATCAGCTGAAGTGCAGCAGATGGATGTTGGCATCACAAACTGCGAGAGATGCTCATGGTACGTAGAGGCTGTCGTCCAGCAGTGGCTAGACCACGGCTGATGATAGCCATGGCCACAAAGCGAACTTTGTGAGGTTCATAGTGCAGCGCGAGAGCTACTGCAGCACTCACTGAATACATTACTCACATTTCTCCAGTTTTAACGCAGCAGCATCTCCAGCCTCACTGGTCATCAGCCCACGAGCAAGCTGGAAGATAAAAAAACAACTTCTCTTGATGAGCGGCAGGTAACCTGGAGCCGAATTGTACACACGCACGTTGAACATTTTTTTTCTTTAAAACGAATTTTTAAAAAAATTTGGAAGATAGGTGCGCATTTGTGAAAAGGCCTTTTTTGACAGAAATGGCCAACGCCTCACTATATATCAGGCGAAAAATTGGTATGCTTATATTAATCATGCCTATCATAATAATATTCACAAATCTGGCTTTCGCATGATGCTAGTTGAAATTAATGGCGAAACGTCGTACTCGAATTGTAAATATTGTGGATTTGCTCTCCAACACACCGGTGTGCTGTACGAGTAACCAATTGGCATGTTTTGTTTACGTGACAAACCTTACTAATTGGCTGTGTTGGGTGGTGGTGGTGGGTTTAACGACACATTTATATTATTATTTTATTGTTTCCCTTCTACGTGACTTTACCGAAAGAACCAAGAATATGAACCCCTGCAGTCACGAAAGCTTTAAATCAAGACACATTTAAATTTACGCAATCTAACCCCCAAAAAATACATTATGGATATTGGTCGCGAAAGCCTTCGTGTTAAACTGATAACATTCAGATGTTACTATGGTGGATTATCGGCAATATATTAAGACAAAATAAGCAATAAAATGACCAGTAAAAACAACCTTGAAAAGCGGTCTTCTGAACATCGTTCCACGATTTCTGCAGATAAAAAGCCACACACACAACACAATGCTTGCTGTTAAACGTTTGTAATGACTTTGCAGATTCCTGTGATGGGAGTAATAATTTAAAATCTTGCCAATCAACTTCTGAACGTCTCTCTTCCACGCTGTCTAGCCATAAGGGGGATTAACTTGGGGTTACCCAGCACAAGTTCATTTCTAACTAGCCACTGATGTTAGCCGTGACCGCAAATCGAACGAGGATCGGCATGCCGATAGCGCAGTGCGCGAATCACTGTGCCACCGCTCCCTAAGGAACACATATGCCTGGTCAAGCTACATCTGTACATAAGTAACACTTCACAAAGATTATAACACAAATAGCTCATGACACACGCGACGATTCGCGCTCGTCAACTCATAGTCACTGGAGGTCGCTAAATCCATTGCAATGATTAAAAATCGATTACGTATAACGTATTGTAACGTATTCAAATATATAAACGTTGATTCTTACGCGAGTCGATGAATACATATACAGCACCGTGATCTTACGCGAGTCGATGAATACATATACAGCACCGTGATCTTTAAATAAAGAAAATATGTGAAATGATTCATATCGATTCCCGAGTATTATCGTAACGTTAAAATGTTAAAAAGTTGATCCTAGGACGCAAAATTCGGTCCCAACCACAACGCCACTGCAACAAATGCAACACTTAAATCTGATACCAACGAGGAAACGGTGTTGCATTAACCTGCATTCGAAAACCAAAGTAATAAACTTTAAAACAAGTCAACTGCTGTGCATCATCCCCACGTGGATGCTTGCGGCTCGCCACGCATTGCACACACCCATATCCAAGCCTTGCGCACTTAAACACTCACTCGTCGTAGAATCGTTCGCACGAGTTTAAACAACAGCAGCAGCAACAGCAGCAGCAAGCGATGATGATAATGATGATGCGATTTTACACATACCGTGACGCCGACGTGGCTGGAGTTAATAACCTTGCGGCTCGGGTGCGTGAGGCGATTTGCGCGGGAAGGCGCCGGATGAGACGCAGCGGAGCCCCGGAAGTGATGGAGAGGCCGCGTCGCCCTCCTGAGGTAAATATATAAAAACATTTTAAACATTTTTTTTTAAAATCTCGTTTACAATTCACGTTGATTTATATATTCCGCGAATTAAGTGCCGCTGAGTCGTCGTCGTCGTCAACATCATCAGTCGTGGTTAAATCCACTGCTGGATGGAAGCCTCAATCGTCATACGTCGCTATGCGTTCATCACGGTGGTCGTTCCCCGCAACGCGTGAACACCAACAACCGATCCGCGTGGATCCCTCCTGCACGCGAGTTTATTTAAATGTGCTCCATCTCCACGGCGGTTGTATCTCCCCTCCGCGATGGTATTAATCTCCGTTGGCTGCAGATTATTACGGACATAGTATTCGGGAACCGTTTGCCGATCCCCTTTACTGCGTTTGCAGGTGGTGCATATGTAATACACGACGACGAATCTCGTCACATTCGTCAATAATAACACTCTGCATGCCTTAAGAGGATTAAAAATATATATGATAGGTTAAGCTTGACCCAACCGGCTACGTTTTTTTTCCCAAAACGTCTTCGTCGTTATTCTAGGCCACGTCACCGCCAAACCGGCAAACCTATGCGTAAGTTGTCGAACGCAGTGACTTAATTACATCTAATTGTGAATGAGCTATAATAATAACAACGTGAGGTTTGGGGGGTTCATTCGTTCTTTGCACAATCACACAAGAGCAGAGAGATCTCTCAACTCCGCGTGGATACCACGAATGAAGGCGCGGCAATAGAGGCCGTTACTGATAAAAGTTAGAACTCAACATGTACAATCAGTAGTACATTTTTATTCTATTAACTTTTGAGTTAATCCCCCAGGGTTTATTTTTAATAAAGCCAGTTAACCACCAATATTGATGTTAGGGGCCGTCCATAAATGACGTCACGCACCTAGGGGGGGGGTCAGACATTTGTGACGATGTGTGACGAGAGGGGGGGGTTTGAGAAATGTGACGTCACATCAAAATGCGCAACTTTAAATAAATATAAATAATTAAATAGCCTTTGTAATACATGTTTCCTCCTACAACATCAGAGTGCAGCTCCACATTAAATATGCACTACAATGACAATAGTTTAAAGCGATTTGAAGCATGTTTTATTTGGGGGGGGGGGGGGCAGAGCTTTGTGACGTCATATTTGAGGGGGGGGTCTGACTTTTTGTGACGCCGTGTGGCGAAGGGGGTGGGGTCAAAAATCGTCCAAAATCGCGTGACGTCATTTATGGACGGCCCCTTAGTCTCGTTTGTTGTACTGCTTCGTCTGTACTTTGTTTTGATTCTGTATTGTCTCGTTTTCTACTGTATTGCTCTGCACGTAATGCCTTGTTTGTAATGCCTTGTTCTGTGATACCTTGTTAGTAATGCCTTGTTTGTAATGCCTTGTTCTGTGATGCCTTGTTCTGTAATGCCTTGTTCTGTACTGCCTTGTTTTGTAATGCCTTGTTCTGTGATACCTTGTTTGTAATAATGCCTTGTTCTGTACTGCCTTGTTCTGTAATGCCTTGTTCTGTGATATGCCTTGTTTGTACTGCCTTGTTCTGTGATGCCTTGTTTGTAATGCCTTGTTCTGTGATACCTTGTTTGTAATGCCTTGTTCTGTGATGCCTTGTTCTGTGATGCCTTGTTTGTACTGCCTTGTTCTGTGATACCTTGTTTGTAATGGCTTGTTCTGTACTGCCTTGTTCTGTGATACTTTGTTTGTAATGCCTTGTTCTGTAATGCCTTGTTTGTAATGCCTTGTTCTGTGATACCTTGTTTGTAATGCCTTGTTCTGTGATGCCTTGTTCTGTAATGCCTTGTTCTGTAATGCCTTGTTCTGTGATGCCTTGTTTGTAATGCCTTGTTCTGTGATGCCTTGTTCTGTAATGCCTTGTTCTGTAATGCCTTGTTCTGTACTGCCTTGTTCTGTGATACCTTGTTTGTAATGCCTTGTTCTGTGATGCCTTGTTCTGTAATGCCTTGTTCTGTAATGCCTTGTTCTGTGATGCCTTGTTTGTAATGCCTTGTTCTGTACTACCTTGTTCTGTACTGCCTTGTTCTGTAATGCCTTGTTCTGTGATGCCTTGTTCTGTAATGCCTTGTTCTGTGATGCCTTGTTCTGTAATGCCTTGTTCTGTGATGCCTTGTTCTGTGATGCCTTGTTCTGTGATGCCTTGTTCTGTGATGCCTTGTTTGTAATGCCTTGTTCTGTGATGCCTTGTTCTGTGATACCTTGTTCTGTAATGCCTTGTTCTGTGATGTCTTGTTCTGTAATGCCTTGTTCTGTGATGCCTTGTTCTGTGATGCCTTGTTCTGTGATGCCTTGTTTGTAATGCCTTGTTCTGTGATGCCTTGTTCTGTGATGCCTTGTTCTGTACTACCTTGTTCTGTAATGCCTTGTTCTGTGATGCCTTGTTTGTAATGCCTTGTTCTGTAATGCCTTGTTCTGTACTACCTTGTTCTGTAATGCCTTGTTCTGTGATGCCTTGTTTGTACTGCCTTGTTCTGTGATGCCTTGTTTGTAATGCCTTGTTCTGTGATGCCTTGTTCTGTGATACCTTGTTTGTAATGCCTTGTTCCGTGATGCCTTGTTCTGTGATACCTTGTTTGTAATGCCTTGTTCTGTAATGCCTTGTTCTGTGATGCCTTGTTCTGTGATGCCTTGTTTGTAATGCCTTGTTCTGTGATGCCTTGTTTGTACTGCCTTGTTCTGTGATGCCTTGTTTGTACTGCCTTGTTCCGTGATTCCTTGTTTGTACTGCCTTGTTCCGTGATACCTTGTTTGTAATGCCTTGTTTGTAATGCCTTGTTCTGTACTGCCTTGTTCTGTGATGCCTTGTTCTGTACTGCCTTGTTCTGTAATGCCTTGTTCTGTGATGCCTTGTTCTGTGATGCCTTGTTCTGTGATGCCTTGTTCTGTGATGCCTTGTTCTGTAATGCCTTGTTCTGTACTGCCTTGTTCTGTGATGCCTTGTTCTGTACTGCCTTGTTCTGTACTGCCTTGTTCTGTGATGCCTTGTTCTGTGATGCCTTGTTCTGTACTGCCTTGTTTTGTAATGCCTTGTTCTGTGATGCCTTGTTTGTAATGCCTTGTTCTGTGATGCCTTGTTCTGTAATGCCTTGTTCTGTGATGCCTTGTTCTGTACTGCCTTGTTCTGTAATGCCTTGTTCTGTGATGCCTTGTTCTGTGATGCCTTGTTCTGTACTACCTTGTTCTGTACTGCCTTGTTCTGTAATGCCTTGTTCTGTACTACCTTGTTCTGTAATGCCTTGTTCTGTGATGCCTTGTTTGTAATGCCTTGTTCTGTGATGCCTTGTTTGTAATGCCTTGTTCTGTGATGCCTTGTTTGTAATGCCTTGCTCTCCACGTCATGCCTCGTTTGTAATGCCTTGTTCTGTTATGCCAATCGCATGCCTGTCAAACATTTGTCAGTGCCTACATTATTACAGACCAATTCAGACCTAATTGGTCACCCCGTTCCCTTATAAAAAAAACCTCAACGTCCATCCTACAATGTCCCATCACAAGGGATGAACACAAATAGACAAAATTATTATTTTTTGCCCGTATTGAAACGGCTGTACGTCGTATGGACCTGAAAACTCAATTTCCTTGTACAAGAATACGGGTAAACCGTATTGGTTGATAGGTATGCAATCGTGTTCTGTCTTTGTACATACATACGCACCAACTCATCTGCAGTGTCTCATTAGTACCATGTTCCAAGCGTGCACTTAAAATGGATAAAGTACTTGCAGTATCTACGAATTAAGTGAAATATTTTTGGCGCACAATCACATTAATTTACCATGAGTATAAGCACATTTTAATCTGTTAATCCTTAAATGCCTACTCAATTATGCATTTTCATTCTAGCCATGCCCTTCACCAACCAGTACAATACTCGCCCATTCATTGACTCTAACCCTGGCTAACTAGCCACCCAGGCATTAGTTACAACCCTCCTACAATGACCATAACCATAATTATAGCCATGCTGCCGCTAAACACTAGCCCTCTTACTGCCAGCCATTTGTTATGGCCCTCTCGCTGACCATAGCCAACCAGCCGCTAGCACACTAGCCCTCTGCACTAACTCTACCAAACCCCTAATCCCACATTCACTTGGACTACTTTCACAGTTGCTCTTCTCTTTTCAGGTTTCTTCAGCACGGTGCTAGAGAGACACGCGTTGAAACCCCCTTGATTCAGGGGCCCATGGGGACGGCCGGTGGAGGCAGGCGGGCCCTCCCGGGCTGGATGCTCACGGGTCCTGATGCCCCAGAACACGCTGGCAAGCCAGGATCGAACCCTGCGGGCAGGGGTATGCAGACGGCTTCCGGCTCAAAAGGCACGGCACGGAGAGGCAAGACGAGGTTTGCCATTACAGTGTTATGCATGTTGTGACGACAATGATGTTTATCATAATTATGATTATGATCAGCCACTATCAATCCATTGCTGCATATAAGTTGACTCCATCGCTCCAACTACACAGTGGAGGTATTTTCAGGCATATGCTCGTATTTAGCTGACACTCCGTCATTTGTCTTGACCATTGGCCATCATCCCTTCAAGTGACATGTCATGCCTGTCCAATCTCACTTAAAATCAGTGTGGACATGTGATGTATCTCGTAAAGCCTCACAGAGTCCCAAAAGTGTGCTGCTTTGGGATATTTGTAAAATATTGTAAAGTGTTACGTGCGGGAGAAAACTGGAGTATGTATATGGTATATGAGGGGGAAACGATCAAAGGCCCATACAGATATGTTCACAGCCATGCTTGCTGTACAGTATTGCCATTTGCTGGCCACCCCATAGCCCAGAGGGTTTGTGAGGTTTACAAATCTACATGATCCACCAAACATTGGCATAATAGTGCTATGGATTATTACGTAATCTCGATGATTATGTGATTGATTGCAATTGGTCGGTTACACCAGTGACTACAGACGTTTTTTTCCTAAACCAGTTCCTTCACATGGCCTTGGTCTATAACACAAAGCATCCAAACAACATGATAGTATATCAGATAACAACATGTTTCCGGAATCGAACAAGGTTGTGGGAACTTGGTAAAAGAGATAATAAGGCATTCTGCAGAACGAAGTAGTGGGAGCAATTTTTTTAAAGAAAACTGTGTCCTGAGCTTTGGTGATTGAACACAGTATGCATGACAGGAAACAGTCCGCCAAATAAAATTAGTCCGTCCCATTAGCAGAGGTATCATGGTGTGAAGTTCATATGCATAACGTCCATGGTAGTATCAATAAATAGTGAAAAGAAAGCAATTGAATAGTGGTGAGTGACTTGATAGAATCCTTGAGTTCAGCAGCATCAATTAACCAAAACACTTTAGATGGTTCTTTATCCAGCAGTCAGATAGGAACTAGGAGTTTACCCCAGATGTGACATTACTTCAATATTGTCCACTTGTGCTTTATACAGCACCAAAAACTGTTCGGAGATGTCAGTCTGATTGTATACAAATGCCTGGCTACATGAAGAATAGTTTTCATTTATGTTTGTCTGGTTATTTGAATTGTGTGTGGCTCTTTGTATGCCTGGGTGGTTGAATACATAGTTGTACCGATGTCTGGTTGTTATGTTTGGATACCAACCACTGAGGTTGATTGTAATCCTTTTTTGTCAGGACATCCAGGAAATCATTCTCCAAGCTCAAAGGTGGCCCTGCTCAACCCATCTACTGCATGAGCGAGTCAGAGCTGCTCCACACGGCCCTGCAGTTCCTCCCTGACATTGTGAGCTCATAGCCAACACATACCCATGTGCATATTTGACTGGCAATGCTTTCAGATGTGGATTTAATTGTCATATAAAAATACTGTTGCTGACCAGACACATAAGCAGAAGGAAGTGACTTCAGACGTGTTTCCACTGCCATACTGTGGTACTGTGGTTCCCACAGAATGTACAGTCTTCATTAGGGGCACTTAGGCTCCTACCCAGTGCATCGGCTGCCATTGTAAATGTATTGGTGGCCAATTTCAGTCAGCCAGAAGCATCATGTGATGAGACACACCATCCAGAACTCTTAAACTATATATATTTTTTATCATCATTGTTTACAATTTTCAAATTTTCTGTTGAGTATTAATGTGATGGCGCTTTGAGTGGCAGATTTATGCTAGGAATGTGCCACGTATGTGTACAAATATAAAATTTACTTGACTTGACAATGGGAGGCCAATCAGATAAAACTGTTGACGTCACCAGGCTGACCTACCATTAATTATAGTCAAAAAATAAAACACATTTGGTGGATTAAAAGATAAAACAGCATCATCATTGGCTCAATATTATTTGCCTGCGATAGTAAAATTATTGGAGGCTGTGTCTAGTCACGTGACATTTGTGACTTTTATTGATCAACAATACCTTTAAAATTGAAATCGTTCCATTTGGTAGCACCCAAAAACCCCTGATGAAGATTGCAGAGGTTGTGTGTACTGCAGTCTGGCAATCAAAACACTGTGGTTAAAGCCGTCAAAGCCTGAGGTGGCTCCTCCTGCTTAGTAGTAGCGCTTTAGTTTAGCTATAACATTGTTTTGTTACTAATTCACTATAATTTTAATCTCATAAATATGGAGTAAATTATAAGACCTTATAATAATTAATGAATTCATATATGACTGGGTACTGGCCAAAATTAGGTGTTTCCAATGTATGTACAATTTTACAAATAAAAAACAATAGTATAAATGTTACTAGTCCACACTCTCCTGTTAGATTTGACTAATCATATCACTATTCCTCGACATCTCGATAATTTAAAGAGGGAAGCAGATAATATAATGTTTAGTTTTTTATGGCATTATTCATGCAAATTGCATCGCACAATCACTAAGGGACCACATACAAGCAGGAAGGCAGCCAGGCAATGAGCCTGTGCCAAAAATTGCTCAAGTCCTCTATATATTAATATATTTTCATCCAATTAATGAGTGATTACATGTGGGAGGAAACCGGGGCACCCAGAGAAAACCCACATGTATGAAGGCAAAACTCTATTCCATACAGAAAGGACAGATTATATTTGACCGCACTTTTCTGTACCACCAATTCCAAGCCAGGATGTGGCACCTCAACACCCACGGGAACGGAGTTTAGCAACATTTGTGTGAACTTTTAACAGGTTAAAGTGCAGGATAATAGTGCGATGAACTGCGGCGTTCAATCTTTCAACAGGAAGTATATTAGAAGTACTCTCACATGTATTCGGGTCAAGGCTGCATCGGTGTTTACGAGCTAAGTGCCGTTATAGGGCGTGAGGGTCCGTGATATCTCAAGCGGCAGCATTTGCTGATTAGGGTCACCGTTCCCATATAATAAAGGAGCATACAACCCTGCCAAGGTGCATTGCTTCATTTCAACCTTTTGTCAGCATTTGATTTTAAGTACTGAAGCGATGCTTAAAAAAATGCCAAGAATCTTGCTGCTGCCTTATTCACAAACTTCAGCTACACAAAGACAAATAATCTGTCTGGTGACAAACCAAATGTTTGTGAGTTTCCAATGCTGATGAGAAAAGGATTAAGACAGAATAATGTCCAATATGCAGTGGCACGTTTTGTTATCTTTTAAAATGTATTGTTCCATATCTCTGTACTCGTAATCTTTGGTAGACCGCCCCGGGGATGACTAATTGTCTGTAAAATTTAACAAATATCTAGGGGGTGGCTGTGTGTGATTACAGAGCTAAGACATATGTAACTTCCAATGGCAAATTTAAACATCAATAATTTGAAATAAAGTCTTTAAAGAACGTGTTATTTATTTAAATTATTGCAGTTTGTGTGTTTTTTCTCAATTTGTAGGTTTAAGGACTGTCATCTCTCTTTTTTCATCTAAATTTTTGCAGTGGATGGAAAAACATGAAGGCAAAATAAGAAAATTACGCTTGAAAATGTGATTGATTTCTTAGCATAGAATGGAGGCGAAGTTGAAGAATGTATCATGTATTTATCGGTAACGAGCAGATCGTAATAGAAATAGCGAGCGTGTAAAAGATACAAATGAGCTTGGAATAATCTATTTTTATTTGTTTTTGCTAACACAGTTAATCCACAGCCTGGATAATCACATGGATAAATCAGAGTTAACTACACATTTGGCCATTTTTATCTTTAGATTCTAGTTTTGCAGAACTTGTTTTACTTTTTATGATTATAAAGTGCCATGAAAGTTTGTTGTGGAAGAGGTACATTATTTACTGTTATATTGTTATATCAGATGTTTATCATATAACATTAAGTTTTACCTTTTCTGGCAATAAAACAGGTGTCAAAATGTTAAAACACCACAGGGAATCCTTATTCAAGGAATCCTGTCTGCATGAGCCACACGTACTTGTGATGAACATGCAAACATCTTGACACCTATTTTATTACCAGAAAGAGTAAAAGCTATTGTTATATTTTAATACTGGCAAGAAAGGTCCCATATTGTATATGTTTTATCAATTCACTGCTGAATGAAAGCCTCCCAAACAACCTTATATGACTCATTGGTTTTTTCGGTAAAGTCACGACGTTTGACCGCAACGTCGTGATTTATTTTAATATAATTTTATTGTATTTCTACATACGTGACTTTACCGAAAAAAAAATGAGTAATTTATGCAGTCACGAAAGCTTTAATTCTTTATTAACACACTTCTACGGGGAAGTTACCTTTACAATTCTGTCCTAAACTTATTGCCCTGTGTTGTATCTCTACGTGTTGCGTTGATGTCGCCCTATGTGCTCCCTCGCTATTTGTTTTTTACACCTGATGAAGATCGCTTGTGTTGCGGTCGAAACGTCGTGATTTATTTGAATATAATTTTATTGTTTTTCTACATACGTGACTTTACCGATAAAACCAATGAGTAATTTATGCAGTCACGAAAGCTTTAATTCTTTATTAACCTTATATGACCCTACTTTGTCATGTGAGTCAGTGCAGGTTGAGGAGGGTATTTCCAGGACCAGCTCAGATATCTCCGGCCAATGATGTTAGCCATGGCTGGGAATCAAACTCAGGTCACACGTTCCTAGAGTACTATGCTAACCACTGCCACCACTCCATTATAGCTATTATAGAATACAAAATGGAAGACGAATCAGTTAAAAAAATAGATTAAAATACGCTGCCAAACAGGGATATTAAAATGATCACTGAAATGTTTTTGCATAATCCACTTATGCCAATTTTGCTGAAAACTCATATCACAAATCTGTTCATTGTGTTCACAAATTCCCAGTACATTTCATCGCAAAATCAAATGTTCACATCTGTATTCTATACATTATCAATGTATAGCCCAATACCTTTAAGCTTGATTTGAAGCTTTCGTGACTGCAGGAATCCATACTCTTTGAATCTTTCGGTAAAGTCACGTAGTTAGAAATAAAATAAAACAAATCACGACGTTTCGATCGCAACACAAGCGGTCATCAGGCAAATCACCTTTGTATGCCATGGATAGCTGAAACCCCACCAACTTCAAGTGCCAACCCCAGGGTCTGACTGCATTCCTCTAGGTCAGGGGTTCCCAACCAAAATAACAAGAAGAGCCATTTTTTTCAAATTCGGTAAAAAAAAATCATTATTTCAAGAGCCTCATTCCATGTGAATACGAGACGGAGGCCCTTCATAAAGAACGCCACGAAGCAGTCCTTAAAGGGCCGCATGCAGCTCCAGAGCTGCAGGTCGCCGACCCCTGCTGTCGGTGCAGTTGCACGATGACCCAAAGGGGTCTCTGGTCCTTTATTGAGTCCTGTGTACTTTACAGCTGAAGGCTGCTTGCTTAAACAGCACCAAATGAGTCACTATTGTGGTAGAGCAGGTTGCTTGTTTGTATGTACGTGTGCTGTGTCAACGGTTTAATAATTTGTGAAAGTCGTTGACCCAACCTTAATACGTGCCCTGAAATCTGGCATGATTGTTGTCAAGTCTCCATATATATTTAGGGGAAAAAAGATAAATTAGCTGCACGTACACATTGATATTCTTTGGCTTACAAATACTCTTTACAAAGAATGCTGGATTAAAGCCAAGAACTTGTCACACCATCGACTGGATTATATATTTAGGAACAGTGACATGTTGAAGAATTACCCTTCAGAAAATGTTAATAGTATTCTTACATAAACCGATTAATATTCATTTCATTTCGTATAGCTTGCAAACACCAAAGCATGTCAAGACACTGTCCATAAAACTCACTTAAACATAATTGATATGGTTAATCAAATCTGAGGCTATTGCCTAAACCGGTAGGACGAGCAAGTATTCTACCGTTCAGCTGCAGAGTTTTTTGGGTGATGGGTTCAATGTTCCTGTTGTAACACTTGCCGATTCGTGATGTGACCATTACAGTCGGACACGGACAGCAAGGAGGCTATTGAAGTGACTGCTACGGGGACCGAGGAGAGGAAAGGACTGAAGCTGACCACCACCGTGGAACATTTGCCGAGCGAGTCTCAAGTACTGCTTGGGGGGACAATGTCCCCCCATGGACGAGTCTCCAGACCCCCTCTCGAGAGTGAGATCAGTGGGCTACAGTGCTCCAATGCCACTCGGCCTAGAGAGGACTCTGTGGAGGATGACGGCATGAATGTTCTCAAGGAAATATTTTTCAAGAAATGAACTGAAAGAATTGTCTGGCGCTACATGATCTGCGTGTTGTCACAATGGACAGCTGTTATATTTCCCGAGCCCAACCCTTGGTGTCTGGAGGAAGGAGCAGGGCCTAAAGAGAAAGAAGCAGTGCCTAAAGAAGAAGGGGCGGGTCCTAACAAGAAAAGAAACGGGGCTGAATCACAAAGTGGAGGATGGTGGCGGTCACAGAGATGAAGGAGTTGGGGCCTAAAGAGGAAGGGGAGGGACCTACAGAGGTTCAACTTTCCCGTTGATTTCATAAAAGCATAGATTAAATAAGTGCAACAGGCAGTATACCTTTAGTACCCCATATGCGGCAACAGGTAAACTAGTATACTTTGATTATACCACGCAGACCTCACTTAGCGCTACCTCGTAGAACGTTGATTCATTATTGCGCTCTTTGTCCCGGGGACATTTTTTTTACAAAAATGGATCAAATCTAAACGAGTGAGAACATGCAGCGCCGAGGAAACGCACCCGCCACCACCTGTGTTTATGTTCGCTCAGCCAATGAGTGCGACGAACACTCTGAGCTCACCAGTTAAAAAAAAAACACACACACACCTGCCCGCCGACATGTGTATACTGCGCCTTCGTCTCTGCCTTATTTTTTGCGTGTTTTATGAGTATTTTAGACCCATAATGTCTGGAAAAGGCCTGCAAATGTTAATGCTGGAAATGTGGCCAAGGTGTCAAGCAAAAGTATCCCGTAGGATGTTAAAATGCAAGTGATAAGGCGGGTAGAGGAGGTGTCAGGTGGCTGTGGGTCGTGAGCGACGGGTGGATGTCCTCGTGAATACAGTTCATAATACTGATATTATATTCAAACATTTAAGAAATGTTTACCATCCCTATTATTTGTGATATTACAGATACCCTAATGAAGCCCTCATATGTTGCTCATACGTAAGAAATAACGTTGGGAACTCGACCTCATATATGCACACTGCAGTAATGACCCCTTTTAGCAATGGTTGATTTAGTTCTCACTTCTCCGGGAATGGCATCTTGAGCACTAAGCGAGGTCTAAGTGTAATAATTTACAGCCCTTTATCAATCCACTGGCTGGAAAAAGAGTGCCGTAGTTGTATCCATCCTAGAGATTTTTCAAGAAAGTTTCATTTGCACAAGAAAAACCCACCTGTACTTATGCAGAATAAAATAGCATATCCTGAGTCTGGAAAGTATGTATAGGTTAGTATCTGTGTTGAATCACATTTTTTTTATTTTACCAGCCGAGGCCCACAGAACTATATAGCTCTTTTTCAGAAGTGATCTGGCCACAAATGATAGTTCAATGAAGTGGCTTATTACGTGGGAATTTATTGCAGCAAAATTCTCTTAAACGCATGTTTATAAATGTGAAGGGGAAAACCGGAGGACCCGGACAAAAATATACACAACCCACGGGGAGAACATGAAAACTCCAAATATAGAGGCGCCAGGGTTGGGATCGAACCCACGACCTGCTGTATACGAGGCGAGGTAGTTAACATCTCGCCGCTATGTCGCACCTCGCCACCGTATGCACACAGGTAATGACGTCACCGCCGTTGCATTAGATAAAAAAACATGCTGACACTTTTTGTGCTAATTCACCACATCCCCCTTTTTTCACAAAACCACAGCGTCGCGTCTTGCGAATTTTTTATATACAAATCGCTATCTCGGCCGTCCAATGCTTTACTCCCAAGTTAGTATAGCTTAAAAGATTCGAGACGCTTTTTATAGTGCTTATCCGTTGCACTTTCAAGAGTGCTGTTTGTTGCTGGCCGCTTAGTGTTTTGGGCCTGTGCTCAGCAAACATGATTGTTTTTTGTTACATAGCCCCCATCCACCTATTATGATGATGTTGAGGGCGAATATTATTGTGCAGTAAATGCCACCGTATAATTCTGAATTCATTACCCGCGGTGGAAAATGCCGCCGACTAATCAACTTCACCGCGACACCACGCCGCTCCGTTGCCTTGGGTGTTAGGCTAAAACCCTCAACCCGCCTCGATTGCTGTGAAATCCCAGCTTCTTAATTTTTGCAAAAGAACAAAACAAAATCCATTTTAATTACCGTCACAAGGTGGAGAAATCTCGTGCGCGTGTGCGTGAGTGAGCAGGAGAATTGGCGAGCGGTCACGATCACTCACAAAGGTCCATTCATCACTCCCTGGGCTCGGAACACCAAATGCTGACCTAGGCGGATTCAGGGTTATCGATTATATTCGATTCTTAAGCTGATTATAGCTTTGTGGACGTGGTTATTAACGCTGGATTGCAGGCCCAGTTGCGAGTGATATCTGTTAAACTGGTTCTGGGCCCCACCATTTCATTGACCAGCGTGGTGAAGTATAATCAGTCAACCAACATGGCATGGGAAGGCCTTCATCCGGCAGTGGACTGACAATGTTTGTAAAAACAAGATAAATTAATAATGGGACAAAGTGAGGCAGACAGTCCAAGCGAGAGATACGACACAATCGAGCAATAGAAACGGAACAGGGCGTGCTAGACGGACAACACGAACGAGACGGTACAAACCAGACGGATCATACAATTTGAGATGGAGTGAGACGCGAGAAACCAGATAGGCAACACGAACGAAGCGAGGCGTACGAGAGACGTCAACAGTAACACAGACATAGCACGCGGGACAGGGGGGGGGGGCAGAGACGACACATCAATTCTAGATTTAAAGCTTTCGTGACTGCAAGGATCCATACTCTTTGGTTCTATTGGGTAAAGTCACGTAGGTAAAAAAAAATCACGACGTTTCTGCCACAACACAAGCGGCCTTCATCAGCGCTGTCCTCCAGACAGTCTCGTCCCTTCACCTGATGAAGGCCGCTTGTGTTGTGGCCGAAACGTCGTGATTTTTGTTATTTTGTTTACCTACGTGACTTTACCCAATAGAACCAAAGAGTACGACACACATCACAAAGGAGGCGCATGCAGTACACAACAAGACGCCAAAAAAGAATAATCGATCACGGATTCGAATCACGACTATAATCGTGAAAGATTTTATTCGATTTCCGCGACCACGCAATGATGATATTGTGAATCATCATGATGCGAATCATGACGTGAATCATTGCAAGCACATCACTAGAATGGCATTTTATTTATCCAACAAAAGGTGACAGCTTCGAAAGCATAAAAGAACAACAACACAACAGGACTGACAGCATGCTTCGCATGTCAATACAACACCACCATCCTTGCGCGCACTCAACGATCACATACAAATACACACAGAGACACCGACACCGTTTCATCTTGACAGCCAGAGCCGACGACAGTCGAACAACAATGAATGACCGCCAGCACACACAACAACAGCCGACCAAAGGCAACACGGGGGGGTGGGGGTCGCTGTACCGTATTCACCGAATTATAAGACGCACTCCCCCCTCCCAGTGTTTTAAAAGTAACATTTGTGGGTGCGTCTGATACGCTGTCTGACAGGGAGCGGTGGTGTAGCGGTTAGCGCAACGCTGCGCTACGAACCTGGCCACCCGGCTTCGATTCCCGCTCACGGCCAACATCGGTGGCGATTATTTGAACCCATGTCCCGGGCCTCCTCTAGGTCGACTCAGCCTCGAACGAGCACCTGGTGCGTTGTGTCTAAATATCGCCACCGGGGAGACAAAGACGGCCGGGCGTGGTGCTGGCCACCCACCCCCTCGTGTGCCGCGCCGGCCTTCGTAGGCGCTCGCTCACGGCACTTGCCCCAACAGTCTGCTGATGCTATAGGGGCGACCTTTGGTGTGAGAGAGAGAGGCCAGATTTGTTACGTTCACACGTTTGGGGTGCGTCTTATTCTCCGGAGCGTCTTAGAATCCGGGGGAAACACGGTACAGTACTGGTAAGTTGGGAAGCAGAAGCGAAGTGGGGAGGGGGGGTGAAACGGGATGTGGTTATGTGGGAAGCTGCATGCGGGTCGCCATGTATATTAACATAACATCGCGAGAGAGAGGAGGGCTGGTGCTGGGAAGAGCCGTGGCTTTCTGCAGCCTCCTCCCACATTTCCACTGCCGCGTTCCCTGCCACTCCAAGCCGAGAGAACGGTGGGGGAGTGGGGAACGATCCTCAGACGAAGCCAAGCCGGCCCCAAAACATCCTCCACCCCTCCTGCGAACTCACTCCTCCCATTCATCCTCCCTCCACTCAGCTGGAGCGCGCGACGCTTCGCTCCACCCCAGGGCCGAGTCTCTCCGTGTGCCCGCGCGCCTCTTCATCCGCGAGTCACTCTGCGTGCCCGCGCGTCTCTTCATCCGCGAGTCACTCTGCGTGCCCGCGCGTCTCTTCATCCGCGAGTCACTCTGCGTGCCCGCGCGCCTGTTCATCCGCGAGTCACTCTGCGTGCCCGCGCGCCTGTTCATCCGCGAGTCACTCTGCATGCCCGCGCGTCTCTTCATCCGCGAGTCACTGCGTGCCCGCGCGTCTCTTCATCCGCGAGTCACTCTGCATGCCCGCGCGTCTCTTCATCCGCGAGTCACTCTGCATGCCCGCGCGTCTCTTCATCCGCGAGTCACTCTGCGTGCCCGCGCGCCTGTTCATCCGCGAGTCACTCTGCGTGCCCGCGCGCCTGTTCATCCGCGAGTCACTCTGCGTGCCCGCAGAGCAACGTCGAAGGGAGAGAAGCACGCCCGCAGCTCGCACTGGGCCGGTTTGGGATCGGTGAGTGGAGAGTGCCTTGGCATCGACGGCGGATTAAGATGATGATGCGAGAGATGTCTCTGTGCGTGTGTGTGTGTGGGAGCGAGACGTTCAACGTGTGGTAGACGTGTGCGTGTGTGTCGACTCGGTCTCAAATGAGTACACGGTGCGGTGTGTAAACATCGCCACCGGGGAGACAAAGGCGGCCGGGCGTGGTTGCTATCCACCCATCATCCCTCGTGTGATGGGTGGATAGACTTCATAGGTGCTCGCTAATAGCACTTGCCACGACAGTCTGTTAAGGCTACACGGGGGATCTTTGTGTGTGGAAAGGGGAGCGGTTTTCTCACCGCTACCCGGCGACACCGGTGATGATCATCTGAACCGATCTCCGGGACTCCCCTAGGTCGATTCAGCCTCAAATGAGTACCTGGTGTGTAAATATCGCCACCGAGGAGACAAAGGCGGCCGGGCGTAGTGCTGGCCACCCAGCCCCTCGTGTGCCGTAACGGCCTTCATAGGTGCTATTGGCTAACAGCACTAGCTCAGGCTATACGGGGGACCTTTGTCTTTATGTGTGAGAGAGAGAGGGTGCGAGAGAAGCCGTCTGTGTGTGGTGTAGGTCAGACAGAGACCGCTTGTGTTTGTGTACATACCGCTGTGTGTGGTTTGTGTGATGGTTGTGTGTGATGGTGTGTGTGTGTGATGGTGTGTGTGTGTGATGGTTTGTGTGTGTGATGGTTTGTGTGTGATGGTTTGTGTGTGTGATGGTGTGTGTGTGTGTGATGGTTTGTGTGTGTGTGATGGTGTGTGTGTGTGATGGTGTGTGTGTGATGGTTTGTGTGTGTGATGGTTTGTGTGTGTGATGGTTTGTGTGTGTGTGTGATGGTTTGTGTGTGTGTGATGGTTTGTGTGTGTGTGATAGTTTGTGTGTGATGGTTTGTGTGATTGTGTGTGTGAGGGTTTGTGTGTGTGTGTGATGGTGTGTGTGTGATGGTTTGTGTGTGTGATGGTTTGTGTGTGTGTGTGTGATGGTTTGCGTGGGTGTGTGTGATAGTTTGTGTGTGATGGTTTGTGTGATGGTTTGTGTGTGAGGGTTTGTGTGTGTGTGAGGGTTTGTGTGTGTGTGAGGGTTTGTGTGTGGGTGAGGGTTTGTGTGTGTGTGATGGTGTGTGTGTGTGTGATGGTGTGTGTGTGAGAGAGATTGTGTGTGCGTGATGTTTGTGTGTGTGTGTGAGGGTTTGTGTGTGTGATGGTTTGTGTGTGTGATGTTTGTGTGTGCGTGAGGGTTTGTGTGTGTGATGGTTTGTGTGTGTGTGATGGTTTGTGTGTGTGTGATGGTGTGTGTGTGTGATGGTGTGTGTGTGTGATGGTTTGTGTGTGTGATGGTTTGTGTGTGTGTGATGGTTTGTGTGTGTTTGATGGTTTGTGTGTGTGTGATGGTTTGTGTGTGTGAGGGTTTGTGTGTGTGTGTGATGGTTTGTGTGTGTGTGAGGGTTTGTGTGTGTGTGATGGTTTGTGTGTGTGTGATGGTTTGTGTGTGTGATGGTGTGTGTGTGTGTGATGGTGTGTGTGTGTGAGGCAAAACAACCCCCTACCTCCTCGCGGTGCCGGACGGGCAACTCTGTCGTGGACAGTGCTGTGGGGGGAGTTCCAATTTTGATTGGCTCCTCCCCTCATGGCATATGTGTCCACCACAGGGGCTAAACGGGGGCTCTGGACGGGTGCGAGGGGCTGGTAACCCCTCCACCTTCAATTAATTACCACAAAACCACGAATTAAAGTGAAATATGTAACAACTAAGCTTGTGCCGGAGGCCCCGGGGGGCCAGGCGTCTATGACGTCTCCTGGCCAAACCCCAATTGGCGGAGCCAGGAGATTGAATACCTACCCTCGGGGCTACTCCAGAAACAACGAAAAGCCACTACGGGTGGCCACGTGGAATGTTCGAACGCTCACTGCAGAGGAGAGGCTGCCACTCCTCTGTCGGGAGCTGGACCGGTACCGCCTGGATCTATGCGGCATTCAGGAGGTCCGGTGGACCGGCTCTGGCTCCTGCCACCATGAGGGGTGGACAGTCCTCTACTCGGGGCAGCAGACTGCCAAACAACAGGGTGTGGGTCTTCTTTTGAACAAAAGAATGAAGGGGGCGTGGGAGCGTGGCGGTGAGGTGTGGGAAGCTGTAAGCCCCAGGCTACTTTGGGCTCGCCTTCCCATCAACCGGAGGCGAGGACTGGTGGTCGTGGTTACTTATGCCCCCACCGAAGATGAACATCCGTGGAGGGATGCAGGCAAAGCCGATGAGTCAGATGCCTTCTATGACCTCCTGTCACAGGTGCTGGCTAAAGTGGCCCCTCGGGATAGAGTCATCATGTTGGGTGACTTCAATGCCCGAGTTGGTCATGATACTGGCACCTGGTCTGGAGTGATTGGAGGGCATGGGCCAGATCAGCTCAATAACAATGGTAGGAGGCTGCTAGATTTTTGTGCAGCCCATGGGCTTGTAATTACCAACACGCTGTTCCGGCATCGGCGCATCCACACAACATCATGGATGCATGCCGGGTCCAAGCAAGAACATCTGCTGGACTACATAGTGACGGACCAGCGAATGCGAGCCCATGTCCTTGACACCAGGACCTACCGTGGAGCTGATCTGCCCTCTGACCATCGACTAGTCATCTGTAAGATGCGCCTGCCATTCTTCCACTCCGGTGGTGGGTGTACACCCAGGACCCCATTCCAACCTAAAGTGGCCTGGTCTCAGTTATCTGATGAAAGTTGCAAGCGAGAATTTCATCATCGCTTGCGGCTGGGATTGGCATCGTCCCCGACTCCTCCTGATGTCGAGGGTAAATGGGCGAGGTTTAGGACTGTGACTCATGCAGCTGCAATGGCTGCTTTGGGTACGCGGTCCAGACCTCCCCAGACACCCTGGATGACAGAGGTGTTGTTCAGGATGGTTGAGAAAAAGCGACAGGCCCACTGTCATCGGCTACAGAATCCCACGTCAGAGAATGAGGAGGCTTACCGCAGCCTTCGCTCGGAGGTTCGGAGAGCCGTGAGGCGCTGCAAGGATGGGTGGTGGTCGCGGGTTGCTGAGGAGATGGAGTCTGCCTCAGTGGCCCGTGATCACAAATCGCTATTTAACTCCATCAAAAAAGTAACCTGCAGCGCCGCACCTATTACCATCATTAGGGGAAAAAACGGTGATCCAATTTCCGACCCCCAGGAACAGGTTCGCAGATTTGCTGAGCATTTCTGTGAGGTCCTGGGGGAGGGAAAATCCCACAGCCAGGAAAACATCGTGGCACAAAGTGAGGATGACCCTGCTGAGGCTGCGGTGCCTCAAATATTGGATGAAGTCACCCCCTGTGAGTGGCTGGCTGAGGTGCCATCTGCTGAGGAAGTATTGAAGGCGATCCGGAGTCTGAGACCAGGAAAGGCAGCGGGCAGAGATGATCTCCCAAGCGAAATGCTGAGGGAGGGTGGCGTTTGTGCACAGACTGCCCTATATGACATCATAACAACAGTCTGGACCACTGGACGGGTTCCGCAGGATTGGAAGGATGCCCTGGTGGTCCCCCTTTTTAAGAAGGGGGACCGCACAGACTGTAACAACTACAGGGGCATCTCACTCCTCAGTGTGCCGGGAAAGGTCCTGGCAAGGATTATTCAGCATCGCCTTGCCAGGCACGCTGAGGAGAGGCTTGCGGAGCCCCAATGCGGTTTCAGGAAAGGGCGGTCCTGCACAGATGCCATATTTTCTGTCCGTCTGCTACAGCAGAGGTGTAGGGAATTCCAACAAGACCTACATCTCTGCTTTATTGACCTGGTCAAGGCCTATGATACCATCAGTAGGCCTGGGCTCTGGGTCGTTCTTCGTGCTTTTGGAGTACCTGACCCTCTGCTCACGATCATTAAGGACCTTCATGATGGTGAGCGGGCCCGGGTAAAACTACGTGGCCGGGAGTCAGAGCCATTCCCTGTACACCTTGGGGTGCGACAGGGATGTCCTCTGGCTCCCACATTATTTAACATCTATTTTGACCACGTAGTTCGTGAAGCCTTCAATAGCTGTACCGGGGGAATCTCCATATGGTACAGATATAATGGGAGGCTAATCGATGCCCGGGTGCGGTCAAGGGATGGCTCCCTATTGCTCAACCACGTTATGTATGCTGATGACTTGGTAATAGCTGCTCAGTCAGAGGAGGAGTTGGAGACGCTGCTGCTGAGACTGGAGCGTGCCACTAAGAGGTGGGGCCTTACCATCAGCCCCACCAAAACTAAGCACCTGCCTGGGTATTTTGTACCATCGGACACTCCACCCCCACAACTCCCAATCGGTGATGGGGCAGTTGTGGAGAGAGTGGAGAGTTTCCCATACCTGGGCAGTGTGCTTATGACTGGCTCCAGTTTAACAGCAGAGGTCTCACTCCGAATCAGTCGAGCGGCAATATCTTTTCATCGGTTGCGTAACGCTGTGTGGAAGCTACCTGGTCTATCGCTCCGCACTAAGCTTCAGGTCTTCTCGGCCACGGTCATTCCCTCCCTTCTCTACGCTTGCGAAACGTGGACCCCCCTAATGGAACATCTTCGCCGGTTAGAAACATTTAGGCTGACCTGCCTACGATCCATCCTGGGTTTAACCAGACTGGATTGTGTGAGGAGCTCACAAATCCTTGAAAGATCTGGGCAGGGTCCCATCGGTGAGCTCCTCCGGCAGGCAAGGCTGCGATGGCTGGGTCATGTAGCCCGCATGCCCAGCCACCGCATGCCGAAACAGCTTTTGTTTGGCCGGATTGAGGGGGCTAAGCGGGCGCGGCACGGGCTAGAGAAGAGATGGAGTGATGTGGTACAGGAGGACGTGGAGCTGAGTGGACTTGCCGATGACTGGTACCAGCGGTGTCAAGATCGGCCTCTGTGGAGGAGGCTCGTGAAGGATGCTACTGGGCAGTTGGAGGCAGTCGCCCTCCAACAACAACGGAGGGCGGAGGAGCGACGCTCACAACAGCGAG